CTTATCACCTTATTTCTATTTTTCCATTTGAATTTGTTGGGTATGAATTCTTATCACTTAGAGTGATCACTGTTTAGCAGAACTTATATTTTCTTGCCATATGCAGGGGCTCACATAGAGTGCTTTAATTTAAAACTTTTTTTCCCCATTTTTGCAACCTAGGTTAAAAAGACAAATAAAATAAGACTTTTCCTCAAAAAATTTTGCAAATATCTTACTAAAACTTCCTTTCTCCCACCCCCTGACTGCCCATGGAATCGCGATAAATAAACTTTCGAAATTTTTAATGGATTCAATTTTTCTACCATTTCATATTTAACTTCTTTGCTTCTGTTTTTCTCATAAAGTCCTCAGGAATCTAGTTCATGTATGTGGGAATAAAAATGATATCTTCATGATTTTTGCAACATGTATTGCTTTAGAGAATTCACAAAGCATTTCCATTAACTTCATCTAAATTACACAAGTCATGCCTACATAAAGGACTGACAATAAACAGAAGACTCCTACCAAATTACAAATGCAATATAGTATGCCCTTCCTAACCATGGGTTCTGCATTCCTAGATTCAATCATACACAGAAAGAAAATATTTTTTTAAAAATTGCATCTATACTGAACATGTAGATTTTTTTTCCTTGTTATTATTCCCTAAACAATACAATATAACTATTTACATAGCACTTACATTGTATTAGGTATTATAAGTAGTATAGAGATAATTTAAAGTATACAGGAGATGGTGCATGTCTGTAGTCCCAGCTACTCGGGAAGTTGACATGGAAGGATAGCTTTGAGCTCAGGAGTTTGAAGTTACAGTGACCTATGTTCGTGCCACTGCTCCAGCCTGGGCAACAGAGCAAGACCCTGTCTGGAAAAAGGGAAGGGAGGGAAGGAGAGAAGAAGGGAGGGAGGGAGGAAGGGAGGGAGAAAAGAGGGAGGAAGGAAGGGGGAAGAAGGAGGAAGGGAAGAAAGAGATGGAGGGAGGTAGCAAGGCAGAGGGAGGAAACGGAAACACATGCCCTCGTAGGTTACATGCAAATGCTATGCCATTGTACATCAGGGACTTGAGCACCTGTAGATGTTGGTGTCCGTGGGAGGTCCTGGACAAATCCTCGATAGATACTGAGGATGACTGTGTATAGTCATTAGGCAGAAGTCAAAAATACTTTTCCTTGGAGTGTAAAAAAATATATAAAACCATAACATACCAGAGATAGGTGTGTCTTCTATTCACTAAAAAATACAACGCTAATCCACTGGAAATTAATCATAAATGTGTCACCTCTTTCTAAGTAAAATAGAGAGAGATTTGCCTCCTTCTGAAATGAGTGAGAAGAGCAGGTATTGCAAGAAAAAATGGGAAAAGAACATGGTTAATATGTTTATAAAGATTAGGTGAGAGACTGGTAATAAATTTTAAGAGAGGTCAAATAAGGAGACATCGAGCACCTGGAAGTGATTTTCTTTTCTTTTGCCCGCAATCTTGGGAAAAGACAGGAAGTGTTAAAAAGCAAAACTAGCAGAGGATGGTTTCGATCCATCGACCTCTGGGTTATGGGCCCAGCACGCTTCCGCTGCGCCACTCTGCTTGGCAATGGGCAAGCTTTCCTGTGTTATCTTCCTATGAACATCATCTACTCTCTCATTTTCCTTGTTATCAATGAATTGGTTTATTCATATCTGGTTTATTCATAAAATGAAATCTTATTTAGCTCTAAGAAAAAATGGCCTTCTGTGAATTAATGATACAAATAAATCTCCAAATGACACAAGTAAATCTCAAAACCACCATTGTGAGCAAAAAAATGCCACACTGTAGGATACACTATATAATTTCACTTATATCAAGTTCAAGAGCAAGCAAAACTAACATCTGGTGATAGAAGTCCAAATAGTAACTAGTTTGCAAGATGTAGTATTGACTGGTAAGAGAGCACAGGCAATTTTTAGGAGTAATGGGAATTTTCTCAATCTTGATCTGGGTAGTAGTTACATGGAATTACACATATATAATATTCACTGAGCTCTAGCAATAGTTAAGATCTTTACATTTTATTATATGTAAAGTATACTTCAAAAAATACTGAAAAAAAGACAGGCAAGAAAGCAGGAAGGAAAGAAGGATGGAAGTCGAGGAGGGAGGAAGAAAGGAAGGAAAGTACATTCTATGCATACTTCAGGGAGCTAAGGCACAAGTGATCAGAGAATAACTTCCAAAATTAAGTTGTAGAGCCATGAAGTGTTCCTTAGGAGCAGGAGAAAATCCCCTGCACCATTTGGAAAAAGAGCCTTAGCTGCACCTTGCACAGATAACACCCCATCAATATAAAACACTGCTTTGTCAAGCCTTGCCCTCCTTCCAGGAAGGCAGGATTGCTTATAACCTCTAATGCATGACAGAATGGTAGATGTAATTGAGGTACTGGCTCTGATAGATCTTGAAAGCCTTGTACTAAATAAGAAGAAAGTTGCTTTTTAATGTATTACTTCTTTAAAAAATCCATTTTCTCTCGTATTGATTATGGGAGGTGAATTAAGAGAGACAAAACAAGAACATGGATATTTGTTTTCTGGAAGCACATTCTCAGACAGGTGAAGATCATGTCCTTTCATTTAGCTAACCATTTTTTGAAGGTCTATGTATGCAAAAAACAGACAGGTTTTCTTTATGTTGTCCATGAGTTAAGGAATACACAGACTTAGGAAATATGAAAGCTTCACGTTGTAACTGCTAAATTAGGAAGGTGGTCTTTCTCTCCTTTGAGAGAAAATGCTATCCACAGATACATGCTCAGAAACTCTGTAATGCCACCTCTAAGAGCTTAGGGACTCTCTTAAATGTTGTTTGATGGTTTCTATGAAGAGGCCACAAAGAGTAGAGCTAAAGCAAAGGAAAAAAATAGGTGTGGTACTTTGTAGTTGGGACCTTTTGGGGTACAGAGAAAAGACTGAGAAGTAGCGAAGTGGCCAATTCTCTTACAGCCCTTCATCCATTTTCATTCCTAACTTAACCCAATGCCTTGTGAATAGAATGCTTACACATGCCAAAATAAAATGCTTTAATTAATAAAATAGCAAAACTGTGCTGTCTACCTCAACTCTAATCACACCCCTAAAGAGAATATCACCTTGGTTAGAATCTCCTTTCTTCCTAGTATGGCAGTTATTTGTATTTTTTATTGTACAGTCTAGACTGCTTTAAAATGAAATCTCTAAAATACAAAAAACCATGTTCCTACAGTTGATAGACACCATGTCTCAACTTTATTAGGATATTCTGGTTGAGCAGAAATCCTATTTATATTGTAGAAGAAGAAACTGAGAAATCATAACCACAATGGAAACGTATATTTCTAAAGAATATAAAAGTGATAATGCTGAAGTATAAGTTTTATATTGTACAAGCTTATGTGGTTTAAGAAATTTTTGCGTCCCTAAAGGTACATTGTTTCCCAAAGGCTACTTCCTGTTTGTTACAATCTAGACATGAGGATGGTATTTTTTAAATTGGACTTACCAGCTCTGTACTTAGAAGGTAACGGTGATACAGCCAGGTGCACATCTATAGTTCCAGCTACTCCGAAGGCTGAGTCAGGAGGATCACCTGAGCCTAGAATTGGAGGCTCTAGCAGTGAGCTATGATCATGCCTATGAATAGCCACTGCACTCCAGCCTGGACAACATAGAGAGATCCTGTCTCTTTAAAAAAAAAAAAAGTAATAAGCCGGGTGCGGTGGCTCACGCCTGTAATCCCAGCACTTTGGGAGGCTGAGGCTGGCGGATCGCTCGAGGTCAGGAGTTCGAAACCACCCTGAGCAAGAGTGAGACCCCGTCTCTACTATAAAAATAGAAAGAAATTAATTGGCCATCTGATATATATAGAAAAAATTAGCTGGCGCATGCCTGTAGTCCCAGCTACTGGGGAGGCTGAGGCAGGAGGATTGCTTGAGCCCAGGAGTTTGAGGTTGCTGTGAGCAAGGCTGATGCCACGGCACTCACTCTAGCCTGGGCAATTAAGCGAGACTCTGTCTCAAAAAAAAAAAAAAAAAAGTAATAGTGATACGAAGCTGATCAGAAAACCTTTTAGGTTGGTTAAAAGGAATTGTCTGGTAAGTCACGAGGGGGGTTCAAATGTCTTATCATTGATATTATATTACTAACCTCTTTGTCTCTTCTGGGGCTTGCTGATAAAACAGTGCCTGCAAATCCAATTAATCCAACTAATAAGAAAGGTCTCAAATTAATTACCTAACTTTATATCTTGAGGAATTTATAAAAAGAGCAAACTTAGTTCAAAGGTGGCAGAAGGAAGAAAATAGTGAAGGTTAGAGCAGAGATAAATAAAATAAGAAAACAAGACTGGAGATACTACTACTACCTTTACAAAATAGAAAGAATTGAAAAAGAATGCTATGAACAATTGTATGCCAACAAATTAGATAACCTAGATAGACTGGACAAATTCCTAGAAACATAAAAATTACTGAAACTAACTAAAAAAGAAATAGAACATCAGAACAGATCTGTAAAAAGTAAAGATTGAGTTAGTAAGCAAAAACATCCTAAGAAAGAAAATTCTGGAACCAGATGGTTTCACTAGCGAATTCTACCAAACATTTAAAGAATTAACACTAATCCTTCTCAAACTTTTCTAAAAAATAAAAGTGGAGGGTACACTTTCTAATTCATTTTCTGAGGCCAATATTATCCTCATATCAAAGCCAGAAAAGACACCATAAGAAAACTACACACTAATATCCCTAAGGAATATAGATGCAAAAATCTTCAACAAACTACTAGCAAATCAATTTTAACAGCATGCAGAAAGGATAGTTCACCATGACCAGTGATATTTATCTCAGGAATGTAAGGGGGGTGCAACATAAGAAAATTAATCAATGCTATATACCACATTAACAGAAAAAAGACAAAACCCACATGAGCATTTCAATTGATGAAGAAAAAGTATTTGACAAAATCCAACACCCTTTCACAATAAAACTGCTCAGAAAACTAGGAATAAAAAGGAATTTTCTTAATATGATAATGGACATTCATGAAAAATCCACAGCATCATAGTCAATGGTTAAAGACTGAAGTCTTTCCTCCTAAGATCAGCAACAAGGCAAGGATATCTATGTTCACCACTGCCATTAAACATTGTACTGGAAGTTCTAGTTAGAGCAATTAAGCAAGAGCAAAATGGGTCGTAACATGGGGTGAGCAGAAGTTGCAGAGGGAAGTGCAGATGCAGGAAGATGGTGAGTTAGGCTACTCATTCCAAACAAAGTACTTTGCACGTTGGGTCCTGCAGGGGTAGTGGCAGGTGAGTCTGGGGGCATGGCAGACCTGTCAGCCTGAGAGGTTGAAGGTGGCCGAACGATGTCAGTGACTGCTAATGTGGGGGAGGTGGTGGTCAGCAGGATGAAAGTAGCTGTGGACTTTGAGTCTGGAGAAATGCTTGGAAGGAGCTCTGTGAGCACTCATGTGGGGTCAGTAGGCTGGGTGTCTTCAGAGGTGAATGGGCCATACTGGTTGCGTCTCCAGGAGACTGTGGGGAGGTCAGTGGACCTGGAGACTTCATTTTCTTTAAGTTTTCCAACTGAGCATTAGTACTCTTGGTTAGAGCCGTCACTGAAGGAGGCTGAGTAAGAGACATGGAAGTATGAATAGCAGGCGAAGTCTCAGGGACAGGGTCTGTGGTGGCCTCAGTTGTTTCTTTTCTGGCTTTGTTGCTCCATTGTACCCTAGCTTTCTTCCCCAAAGGTCAGAGCTTCTTCGGGGACTGCATAACCACGTTGGGAAGGAGGAGTCACAGAAAGCAAGTTCCCAGGGCTAGACAGCAGCAGCGAAATCTTCTGATTTTGCTTTCCAGAACTTTCAGATGTTCCTGGGGACTCACTGTCTAATACTAGAGGGATTAGAGAGTGACAGTGACTCTTTTCTTTCTTTTTTACTGGTCACTCTGGTATCTGGCATGATGCACTGAGAACACTTCTTTTTTAAGGCTCTGAGAAATTTCTGGAAGAGCTGTAACAGCTGGTAATAGCATTCCTTTTGGAGCTGAGGGGGCCACCTGTGTGTACGCTGGCCAAGGAACTCATAGAGGAGCAACTGGGCCTCTTAGTCAAGCTGTGGTCTGAGCTCCAGAGTGGAGGCTTCTCTCCAGAGGCCCAGGCCTGGGCACAAATGAAGCGAGGGCTCCAGTTTTCATCAGGGGCTTAAATGCAGATAGTCTGGTCTCTGGACTCTTCCTCTTCCTGTCCAAGTTCTAAGGGAATAGTTGTTCTTCCAACCTCACTCTCCCCTTTCTGCACTCTCTGAGGGCCCTCAGCACTGTCTCCTTTGCACACGGGTCTCGGGCCTTCTCAGAGGATGAGGGCCCCGCAGAGCTGACTACATCTGCCCAAGAAATGGAAGGAGGCACTCTCCGGTCAGGAGGAGTGAGCTCAACGGTTACTGGGCTCCGAATTCCCCTTGGGTGCCGAAGAAACCAAATACTCCGCTTTAAGTAACTTTCCCCCCATTCTGAGGGAAGAGGCCCCATCATGGAATTGTGGGACCTCTTCATGGGAAAGCGCCTCCAAGCCTCATTAACCAGCCATGTGGTGGGATTGGCAGGATCCCAGTTTGGCAGCCTGTTCGCAGGTCTGTGCTGTGGGGCGGGTTCGGAGCCATGGCCGAGTTGAAGCCCAGGTAACTGCCCATAAGGAGAGATACAATGGGGCCAGTGACTGAGTAGGGTTCCAGCTTCGGAGGTTTTGGATGCCTGCGGAATTTACCCCAGTCGAAGTGCAGTGTTTGGGTGACGGTTGTGATCCAGCCACGAGGAAAGCGCGAGGGTATCAGGGCGCTTGGCACCCTGCAGGCCCCGCATCCACGGGAATAGGGGACACGCGGGGCTTTGGTGGCCCCAGTAGCTTGTTCGGCTATTTTGAGGCCTAAGCGGGGCGCTCAGACCTCTGCTTTCTCAGCTGGAGTTGCAGCACACGGCGTGGGGAGAGGAACTCGACAGGAATGGCGTGGCCCGTCGCCCTGGTGTCAGCAGTGCCGCTCCCGGACCAAGTGGCCAGGGCTCACCGAGTCGCGCAGAGCTTCAGTCGAGCTGGCGCCAGGGCTCCAGGCTCCGACTGCGACGGGCCTCGAGGGTCCAGGCTCAGAGCTCCGGCCTGGATCGGTCTGCCCGCCAGTTCCCCCACGTCTAAGTGGGGAGTGCTATCCGAGCCCCGCAGGGTGAGTGCGGGCAGCTCTTGCTTGTGCGCAGGACTGGAGACCTGGGCCGGTGGTGGAGCTGTGCAGCCCCGATGGCAACCAGGATGGCATTTGTGGCGATAACAGTCCGGAAAGGCGGCTGATCGAGGATTCCCGCCATTCTCTTTTACTGCTGCTCTCGCCGCAGCCAGTAGGTGCTAGTCATTCGCGCAGAAAACAGGAGCCACCACCTGGCTCTTTCAGCGCCTCTCAGAGGCCGAATCCAGTCACCCTTCCGGTTGTTCGCACTTGAAGAACGCAGGACCATTGCCATCAGGAGCGGCTTTAAGGCTCCAGAGGAGGCAAGTCGGTTATCCTGTCTACAGCCCTCCGCAAGTACCGACTCAGACCCTAGCTCAGGCCACCCCATGATTCTTCTGCTCTGCGAGAGACACTGTTAAGAGAATGAAAAGATAAGCTACAGACTGGAGACAATATTTGCAAAATATAGATGTGTTTGATAAAGAACTGGTATGCAAAATATATAGAATGTTAAAAGTCACAATAAGTTAAAAATATAATGGGAAAAAGATCTGAACAGACACTCCACCAAAGAAGATATATAGATGGAAAACTGTATGAAAAGATGCCCAAAATTATATGTTGTTAGGGAATTGCGAATTAAAACGTTAATGAGATATCACTACACCTAGAGTAGGCAAACTCATAAAATCAAATGGAGGTTACCGGGGGCTGTGGGGAGCAGGGAATGGAGAAAGATTGCCCAGTGGGCCCAGGGTTTCTTTAGGGGTGATGAAAATATTCTGGGATTAGGTAGTGGTGGTGTGAAGATACTAAAACCTTTATTGTACAACTTTAAAATAGTAATGTTAATGTTATGCATGGTTTACTATAATTTGAATGGTTTTTTAATTTAAAAAATCCAGGAAATGATAAAATTAAATTGTCTCCAGGTTCCAGGAAACTGGAATCCTGCTCCTTTAATTTGGATCCTGCTCCTTTATACTTACTTCATACTTCATGCTTTATACTTACTTCATTTTTCTATAATACTTACACACAGCTGTCATATGCCAGATCTGTAACTTTGCACATGCTTTCCACTATTCTAGCTCATCAACTATTTTTAAGGTTGCCCTCCTTTATGCTTTCCATTAAATTTTCCCTTAGTCAAACCACCCCAATATCCCTCATCCCATAAGTTTCCTTGCCTCTGAGCTCCCAGGGCAAATTGTACCGCTTTGGGTGCAACTCTATTACCCTATACTAAAATTATCTGTAGGGTTTTTTGTTTTGTGTGTGTGTGTGTGTGTGTGTGTGTGTGTGTAATAGGGTAGTGTCCTGATTTTATCTTTGGCTCTTGGTGGACTTTGAAAAGTGTCCTGCATTTAAACATCTAGATTGTGCAATGGAGCCTGTTTCTCCAGAAATGGTCTAGGGGCCACCTGCATCAAAATCTTCTGGGATGAAAATGCAATCTTCCTGGGACCCGCTGTGGATCAATGAGTCAATAACTAAGTATAAGTCTTACAAATCGGAATTTTAACAAGCTCTCACGGTGTTTCGTATACGCTATTTAAAACTTTATAAATCACTGGTCTGGGCTATATGTTGCAGAGTGTACTAAGGTCTTCAGGAGCTCTCGTGGACCCCCTTTCTCATGCCTCCAGCATCAAGCTCTCAGCCTCTCACGCAGCAGGGGAGGGGCTTTGCAAAGACTCCAGGAAAATAAGTCGGAGCACAGCCTGCCAGCCTTTGGCTGTCGGGCGCAGGCGCAGAGCTGCGACCGCTAATATGTTGCCCACTCTCGGTATGGTCTCTGTTCTGCAACCCATGGTCCATGCTGGGAGAATACGGTCCAGACGACTGCTCGGACAATTACTGGGCCCGCCTACCGAGCGAGGAATGATCAGAGGACTGAGCGGAACAGTGCCTGTGACCCTTGGAAACTTGGTGGGCGTTGGAGCAGCGGGTCGACGGTTGGGTTTCTCTTTAATCCTTCCGGCTTCTCCAAGCCTCACGCACTCAGGTTCCGCTCCAAGTGTGGCCTGGGCCCGGGGTGTGTCAGGGCGCTCGGCCAGAGGCGGCCGGTGAGTGGGGCGCGCAGGGCCAGGGACCAGAGTGGGTGGGTCTAGAGGTTCTGGGAAGTGATCACGCGGAAACACTTGGCTCCTTCGGAGGAGACTGGCGAAAAGGCTGCGGGTGGTTTGGCTGCAAGTCTAGCCAGGAGGAGCCTCCGCGACTGGGACGCCTCGTGGCGACGAGTCTCTTTGGTGGCCCCCAGCTCTTGTCTCACCGGCGGGCTCCGCCCAGTCTCTGCTGCAGTGACAGTCAGTGATGTTCCCCAGCTGCGCCCCTGAGAGATGGAAAAGAGAAAGGTTGCTTCCCATTCCCCTCTAGCTGGGCGAGGGAGGGCTTCTGTACCTCTGGGTTTCCCAGATGCCTACGGAGTGCAGGCACTGCTCCAAGAGTCATTTAATCCTCTCATTAACCTCATGAAGTAAGGTACAATTATTGTCCCCATGTTACAGATAAGGAAATTGAGGCATACAGAAATTGAAGTACCTTGCTGGAAGTTACAGAGCTAGTGAGTGGTAGCTTTTATTTTGTGGTTCTGAAGATAAAGGTTGGTATTTGAATAAAATAGTTGTTAATTATTTGTTGGTAAATGTATTGACAAATTCTGTGTATCTATGTGTGTGAACTTGTGATTTGAGCCAATTTCCATGAATATTGTTGCCTGAAGACCAAGTTTTGGCAGGACTAGATTTTCTCTGTTTTGTGGTTGAACTGAGGCTGCCTAGGCCCTCCTGCTGATTCCTTTGTGCATTGGCAAAGGCTCCAGGAAGTAAACAGCCCAGTGCCACAAAGCAAAGCAGCGGGAAGAAGAGCTATTCTGGAATAGCTCTGGAATACCTTCACAATCTGCTTCCTTCTGAATGAAATGATTTCTGTATATTGAAGGAGGTAGAAAATAAAGGCGAATTATTCCTGGATCAGAAATTGATTATAGGAGGAAATAGCATTGTCAAAAGAACTTCAGATGGTTAGGGCAACAGTAGGTGGCCAGAGCTGTTAGGACTGGAAAGTTAGAGGCATAAAAAGGAGCAAATCAGGTTTGCTGCTGCTGCAACAAGCTGTGACCACTTGAGAGAATAACGATTTTGTGAGGATACAGTATCCATAGAGCAGTAAGGTGATCCAAATAACTGAAGTATGAGGAAAAATGGAGAAAAGGATAAGTAAGCAACTTTCCACATTATGGTGGAGGAACCCATTGGATGGAATCTGGATAAGGGTAACTTAAGGCTCTAACCTTGTAGAGATAGTAGCCTCTTGGCCTCTCTGAAAGATATTTGGGGGCTCTCTCTGAAACTTTTATCTCATCCACCAGCGCTCCCTTCCTCATTTCATATATATCCTCCAAAGCCAGGAAAAAGAATGCATCTGTCCCTGTTCTAATGCAGCAGCTGCTGAGGGAGCCTCATAAATCCTCTGAGAACATCTTTCCTTAAATCTGCACCATCACAATTTCAAATTAATTGATTTGAGATGAGCACAGCAATAACATACTCTCTTTATGTTGTATATGATATTCTATATTGCAAGTTTTTGCCCTATTTGGGATTGTAGCACTCACAAAAGCTTTGTAAGAAAAGTCAAGCAAGTATTAGTAACGATGTTTTATAATGTGAGACCAGGTTTTTAAGGAAGATGAGTGACTTGCCCAGGGAGACAGAGCTCTGAGCATTGACAAGTGCTTTCTGTTTTGACTCTCTGGAAGAAGTAAGGGTAACTAGTGCCATGCTCTCTTTGAACTCATACCCAATGTAAGGAGATTGTAAAAGAGGCTGAATCACCTAGAGAGTTTGGATTTAGCCCAGATCTGTCCCCTTTATCTTTTATCATCAAAGGTAGACTTTATACACAGACTTGTATCTATTGTCATTTTCTTTGTATCTGAGAGGAGGTGGGATTACTTTTGTGCATTCATTTTGCCTCTTAATCCTTAGGGTTGCATTCAACTGGCCAAATGGGGACATTATTAGCCCATTGATTCTAGATGCCTTCTGACCTTTTCCCAGCTGTTTCTTTCACCAAAAAGAAAGCCAAGGAGAGGAGGAAAATGGAAAAACAACTATCTGCTTCTATCCCACATGAATTAAGTATTCTTCCCTCTTTTCTTAAAGTTTGTCATCTTATCAAGTATAGACATATTTATTTCTCTTTTCATAGAACTTTCCTTCTTAGATGAGTTTGCCAAAATTTTTTCAAGTATGGGACTATTCTGTATTTGTCTGCTGACTGCCCTTAATATTTCCTCAATACTCTCTCACTCTAATTCATCAGTAGGTGATTATCACAGCTTTACTGGCCTGTTTCTTGAGTGGTTGCATCTGAAATATGGATCTGAGGCTCTTACATAAACCTGGGAATTTGAAAAAGAAAAGGAGATTCATTCTAGTCTTATCTTAGTCTAGGAAGATGGTTATATGTCTCGGAGTTTGGGATCTAAAATTAAACTACTGGGAATCAGATAGCTTTGGACCAAACAATCAAGTCCAACATCTTCATTTTACAGATGAGGAGACATAAAATCAGATTGGTTATTTTCCTCTGTTTTCTATATAGCTAGCAAAACAGCAATGACCAAAATCAGATTACTGGTCAATATTTATACTATGGGGCTTCTATCTGATGTTTCATTGAGTTGTGCCAAGGATACCACTTGCCCTTCAGTGGGGGCTGAAGAATTCAATCCTTAGGCTACACAGGGTTTTTAGCATGGTTGGGATTTACTGCCTCTCAGAGATTACCTCCAGGAGGTGGTCATTCTTTACACCCCCACAGCACTCTGAAGTCACGGTCATGCTGATATCCTTCTGGGACCAAGTTTAGTTTCTTGGCCATTTAGGGGCTCTAGGAATGGAAAATGTGACTCGGGTATTCTTTTTCTGACTGTTGAGAATCAGTGAGTACTGTATAGTATAGAGAGTTCATGGAGTCCAGGATTTATTACTTGGCCTTGGGCCAAATTATTTAACCTCTCTAAAACTTAAGTTCTTCATTTGTACTGTGAGAATGATAATAGTACCCCTCTCAGAATTATTGTGAGGATTAAATGAGTCAGTATTCATAAAATGCTTAGAATAGGAAGACCCAAAGAAGGGCCATTTCCAGAAACTGCACTTCCAAGTTAGATTTCTTTCACAGGTTCCTTCTTTTTAGTTAAAAACTTTCCCCAATGGACTGTCTATGTGTCACATACACAAAAACACATAATATATACAGTGAGCTTATTTAAAATACAAAAACAATTACATTTTGAGACTCTTGCACTATGTATTATATATACATTAGTTGATTATAGATAATCTCATATCAAATTGGCACAGTTTAACAATCATTAAGATTTTTATTTTATTTTATTTTTTTAGAAACAGGGTCTTACTCTGTCACCCAGGTTGGAGTGCAGTGACATCATCATCATAGTTCATTGCAACCTTCCATGAGAACTTCTGGGCTTTCCCCCACTTCAGCCTCCTGAGAAGCTAGGTCTGTAGATGCGTAGCACCATGTACAGCTTTTTTAATTTGTTTGTAGAGATAGGCTCTTGCTGTGTTGCCCAGACTGGTCTTGAACTCCTGGCCTCAAACAATCCTCCCACCTCAGCTTCCCAAAGTGCTGGGATTACAGGCATGAGCCACCACACCTGGCTGGCCTATCATTAAGATATTAATGAACATGAGATTGAACCCTAAACCTCAAATGGGCTATATCCTTTGAACTTTGTGCTAGTTCTTTCTCTGTTCATGATATTGTGCCTACTTTTAAGTATCCTATGTTTTAATGGATCTAGTGAGATAATTTGCAAAGATCTTCAAATTTCAGATCTTCCTGGTATCACTGTGCCTCTAAAACCTAAACATTTTCTAACCATATCTATTCTCCAGAATGGAATATGACAACCCAAAATAAGTCACTGAGGCAAAGATCTCAATCAATGGAGGCTTATTAAGCCAAAGCTGAGGACACATCTAGGAAAAACACAAACCACAGACAAATGTGTGGCTGTTTTTCTGAAGTGAATTTGGTAATTTCAGCATATAAGGGGAGTAGAGCATACCAAAAGGAAAAAAGAAAGCAGGGGGTGGGTGGGTAGTGAGACAAAATGGTTATATTCTTGTGAGACCCAGGAAAATCTACATATTACATAAGGTAAATGTTAGAAGAGTAAAAGAGAGTGAAAGAAGCATCAATTATGTAGATGTCCCTGGGTAAGTGGAAGAATGTTGTTGTCATGTCTTGTCTATGTTCTGCACCTGGGAAGATAAACTTGTAATTCAGTACAAAAGACTTTAGTTGTAGGAGCTAGACTTAGCCTGTAGACCTCAAGTTACAATTTACATAAACCAGCAAGGAATTTTCTTAATGAATGATCTGTGGGGCCAGTCCTTCATAAGTACCTGACGTTTCTACCTTTCCTTTTGCATAAGGTGGAGGTGTGTGGGGGGTGGTTCCAAGATTTTTTTCTTCTACAAATATAATATGTAATAATGTCATAATATTTCACTATATACAACATTCCCATTAGTTCCCTCTTCACCTTTATGGCAGTATGAGTGTTCTCATATCTTCAAGGATTTCTGTTGGGGACAAGGACTTTTGCTTTAGAAGCTTTGTAATGTACACACTGAGAGATGCCCTCTTTATCTGTCATGTAACTGTCAATATTTTATTTCCAATATTTTATTTCCATGGAGAAGTATTTCTCCACCCTTCAGACCTACTATCCATCCCCCTTACTATCCTGAAATAAAATTCCTAGATAATATTAACGATCTATAGACATAATTTCCAAAATGTCAATATATTACCTTAACTATAATATAAAGGAAAAAGTAAAAGGAAAGTGATTTATAATAGAATAATACGTATGTCAGCATGTAAATAACTGGATGAAATAGTTGCTTGCACCAATTAGAACAACTGTGAATACAAGTACAAATGCTGGCTGATTTTTGAATGTCATATTTATGAATCTAACACCATGACTGGTTTCATTTTCCTGAAATGGTGAGCAATTCCTAATAATGTTCAAACAAAAAATATGTATTTTCTTGATTTTCCAATACATTTATATATTAAAGCTGTGCAAAATACTTTGTATTTTTATGTAAAGTGGTGTTAGGCTCTAGTGTCAGGTAACTATTAACTATTAGGTAACTATCAGGAAACTATTAACAGCTTTTTTGAAAATCAGGCAGGATAAGTGACAATTTTTTGTTCTGCAGAAATGTCTATCATCCCTGGCCCCCAATAAATTTCAATAGCACTCTCCAATCTCCAATCATTGTGACAACCCAAGAAACCCTCAAGAATTCCCATAACTCTTCCTAGGATATAGTACTGCTTTCTTGAGGATCACTGTAATAATAGAGGTAAGTAACAGTGAACTGACAACAAAATAACAAGGTACCTTAAAGCAGCGGTCACCAACCTTTTTGCCACCAGGAACCGGTTTCATGGACGACAGTTTTTCCATCGGCTGGTGGGGGTTGAGCGGGGGATGATTTTGGGATGATTCAAGCACATTATATTTATTGTGCATTTTATTTCTATTATTATTACATTGTAATATATAATGAAATCACTATACAACTTACCATAATGCAGAATCAGTGGGAGCCCTGAGCTTGTTCTCCTGCAAATGACATGCTGATTTGACAAGAGGTGGAACTCAGGTGGTGATGCGAGCAATGGGGTGGGGCTGTAAGTACAGATCACTGGCTGGCTGGGTTCCTAACAGGCCTGGGGATTGGAGACTTCACCCTTAAGGGTGTAGGCTATAGGAATGGAGGCCAGTCAAGTGAGTAGTAAGGCAAATTCCTACTAAGGAATGTTGGCACCATAAAGCTGCAATCCACCCCAGTACCAGTCCATGGCCTGTTAGGGACAGGGCAGCAGAGCTCTGCCACCCCCCCTCTTTCAGTGGAAAAATTCCCCTGTCAGTGGAAAAATTGTTTTCCATGACACTTGGGCAGGAGGTTGGGGTGGGGCAGCGCACAGCAGAAAAGGTAAGCAGTGAGCAAGGGTATTTAGAGCCGCTCCCCATTGTTCACATTACCGCCTGAGCTCTGCCTTACTCCTCCCACCATACGTGGGAAAATTATCTTCCATGAAACTCTGGTTTCTGATGCCAAAATGTTGGGGACTGCTGCCATAAAGTATGCAACTGGATTTTAATGCAAGATTCCACAACAAGAAATTTGGATTCCCTCCTAGCTACTCAGGAGTCTGAGGTGGGAGGATTGCTTAAGCCCAGGAGCTAGAGGTTACAGTGAGCTATGATCACAACACTGCTCTCCCGCCTGGGTGACAGAGCAAGACCCTAGCTCAAAAAAAGCAAAAAAGCAAATAAAGGAATTCTGACTCCTCAGTCAACCCAGTGGTAGAGCTTTTTGTCGTTCCTGTTTCCAGTTGAAAGGCATGTTCTTGGCAAAGCTGGACACAGACAGTATCATCATCTTGCGCTTGAGGTTCTCCATGTGTGGCTTCTTGGTAGATAACCTCTAAGGCTAACCTGCACATCTGAGAGGTTCCTAGTCTATGAGAAAGGAAAGACTTGTGAAACCAAATCAACTCCCTAACCCAGTAGATCTCAAATTGTGCTGTGAGCAGAAACATTTACAAAACCTTTATACAGTTTGTTGCCTCCTGTAATGCACAAGGACTCCAGATGAATTCACAAGAGAAGGGATCAAACAACAAGCTTTAATGAAGAAACTTAAGAACCAGAGATAGACAAGAAGAAAAGGCACTCCCAGATTTTCCCATTTTCCTGACAGAAAGGTTGCTGAGGCCAGGATGCTCTACTGGACACTCAGTGTAGGTTGGTGTTCCACAAAAGGGCCTTGCTGCCCTGTTGCTCTCCCTTCTTATAAGGCAAGTGTAAGTAAGAACAACTTTGTTAGTGGGGAGATAAAGACATTGCTTGGTGCCAGGCAGTATGAATGTGAAGTGCTAGCTTTTAAACAGAAGTCATCTAGGAAAGCAAGCTGCCTAGTTCCTGGGAATCTTGAGATCCTTGGGAAGCTTTGGTCCCTGTGCAGAGGAAAGAAGTCAACTGTCCTATGGGAAGCTGAGTTTATGTTTTAGACCTTCTTGTTGTGACAAGAATATTGGGGGAGAGGGTTACTGGTCCCAGCTAGCCCTTTGTTCAAGCCACTAGAGGGTATTTCTAAGGCTGTTTTTGGACGTTCAACTTGTAAAGTCACATGAAGTTATTAAAATACAAATGCTGGGGCCCCATCAGGTTTATTAGGTCCAAGGCAAGGCTAATATGTCTGGAGTAACAGTTTCCATAAGGGAGTGTGTGCGTGTCTGTGTGTGTGTGTGTGTGTGTGTGTGTGTGTGTGTGTATGTGATGTGTGTAACCTGTCATTTGGAATTCAATTTTAGCCCCGTTCAGTTATCCATTTTCTCCAGCCTCTCTTGCCATAGCCCCTGTGAGAGTTCACCCTAACTTTTCTATAGATAAAATCATTGAAATTGAGCTTTGAATAGTTCTGTGTCTCCAGCACTAACAGTCTTATGGTAAATCATTTCTGATATGTAGGAATCCATCATGCAAGTAGGACTTGATCACCCAGTTGGAGGAAGAGCAACTGCAGATGCTGGATCTTCAGGGAGCTGAAGAGGGAATTGCCTAAAAATACCTGTCTAGGTGAGTGGCATCATAAAAAGATGACCAATTTGATATTTAGGAGACAAGTATAACCCCTTGCAATTTACTGGGTGACCTACGCAATTTACTCAGTCTGTTTTCTATCTGTTAGATGAACCAGTTAGCTTAGATGAGCTCTGAGTTCTGTTAAACCTGTGATACTCTATGATTGTAGACTTCTTTAGATAAATACCTAAACTAATCAAAAGAAGGGTTGGGGGTCAATGGGGATAGCAATGTGGTAGTTATCATTTCTGAAATTCTTGTTTTTTCTCAGTGCCAAGAAAATGGTTGCATTCAAGCTTGATAGAGTCATCCCTTTTGCTTTTTTCCCCTTACAGTTGAGAATATTTACTCTTCTCATACTTCTTCCTGCTCTCATATTCCATGACTAATCAGCTACACTAATAGGTCATTTTACCATTTAATCCCCTACCCTGCTCATCAGCAGGTATATTTGTTCACTTCCTATTTTTGGCTTAGCATATTACCCTTATTTCCATATTTTGTCAATGTCTCTGTGTTCACCATGCTCACTGCAAAAACTGCCTCTTATCTCTTCTGGCTTTGTTCACTTCTCTTCCACCATCCCCTCCTCCTTTTTTTCTTCCCATATAAAGTTGCTGATGTGCATGAATTGCATATTAGTTGTCTTATTCTCTGCTGGTTTATTTTCCTTGCTCTCCACACTAGAAGCAGGTGACATCTGCACTTTAAATGTCTTTCAGATAGGGAGATTTGAACTGAACCAAAGCATCAACGTCAATCATGCTGTTTCTGAAGAATTAGAGTTTTCAGGGTCAGCAATGGAAAGTCTCAGAGGGAATACTGCTCAGGGTCCTACAAATGAAGAAGCTTATAAAGGTGAGGGCCAGTTATCAAGGTGGACAAAATGTCCTGCACAGAAGAAATCATCTTTTGAGAAAAGAACAATCAGAAAAATGTCAATGACGCTCAAAGAAATTTTCACTGGGGAGAGAGGTCCTGAATCCAGTGAATTTAGTCTAAGTTCAAACCTTGATATACAACAGAAAATTCCAAAAGGAGATAGATCTCCCATATGTGGGAAAAACTCCAAAGACATTTCAGATTTAATTAAACACCAAAAACTCTTCCCACAAAGGAAACTTTATAAATGCAATGAATGTGAGAAAGCCTTTGGTTACAAATCAGATCTTCTTGTCCACAGTAGAATTCATGGTAGAGAAAAGCCTTTTGAATGCAACGACTGTGGGAAAACTTTCAGCCGAAGTACACACCTTATTGAACATCAAAGAACTCACACTGGAGAGAAACCGTATGAATGCAGTGAATGTGGAAAAGCTTTTAGTCGGAGTACACATCTTAGTCTACATCAGAGGATCCACACTGGAGAAAAACCATATGAATGTAGTGAATGTGGAAAAGCCTTTAGCCGAAGCACTAACCTTAGTCAACATCAGCGAACTCATACTCAAGAAAAGCCTTACAAATGTCATGAATGTGGTAAAGCCTTCAGTGACCGCTCAACCATAATTCAGCATCAGCGAATACACACTGGAGAGAATCCCTATGAATGCAGTGAATGTGGAAAAGCTTTCAGTTGGATCTCATCTCTTATTGAACATCAGAGAACACACACTGGGGAAAGCCCCTTTGAGTGCAGTGACTGTGGGAAAGTGTTCAGTCGAAGCTCATCCCTTACTGAACATCAGAGAATCCACACTGGAGAAAAGCCCCATGAGTGTAGAGAGTGTGGAAAGGGCTTCAGTCGGAGCTCATCCCTTATTATTCACCAGAGAACTCACACCGGAGAAAAGCCTTATAAATGTAATGACTGTGGGAAAGCCTTCAGTCAGAGTTCAACTCTCATCAGACATCAGCAACTTCACACTAAAGAGTAATGTCTGAGCTTTTATTAATATTAGCACAAAAGCACATACACATAACCTCCCATAGCTGAAAAAAAATATTTACCTGTTTGAATTTTCCTTCCCTATTAGCTAACTATATAAGTTACAAGCTTGCCTGCTTGTCTTCCTTCCCCCTTTCCCTTCCTGTTTTTTTGTATTTTTTTTTTTTACTTTTTTCCCCAGAACAAATGGCTAGAAGAAATGCCTTACTCTCTTTCTAACTATTAATAAATGCTCAAGTGAGATATCAATACAACAAAGGGATGACTTTAAAAACCTAACATATTCCATCTAGTTTTCTAAAGGGGTCCAACCTTAGATTATACAACTACCTGACACCTTGCATTTTCTCACCGTGTCCCATGAAGCTTGGGTCCCAGAATAAGCAGCGAATCCTTTGTTCCCAACCACATTAGCCCCTTCACACAAAGAGGAAATCCTGTGTGTGTTTTCATACTTGCTGACTCCTATAGCAGAAGAGAGGGACCTGGCTTCAGGCAGGACTAAACATTTCTCACCAGTTTGGGAACAAGTGTTGAGGAAATTCAGTCTCTCTTTTTTTTTTGAGACAGAGTCTTGCTTTGTTGTCCAGGCTAGAGTGAGTGCTGTGGCATCAGCCTAGCTCACAGCAACCTCAAACTCCTGGGCTCAAGCAATCCTGCTGCCTCAGCCTCCCAAGTAGCTGGGACTACAGGCATGTGCCACCATGCCCGGCTAATTTTTTTCTATATATATTAGTTGGCCGATTAATTTCTTTCTATTTATAGTAGAGACGGGGTCTAGCTCTTGCTCAGGCTGGTTTTGAACTCCTGACCTTGAGCAATTCGCCCGCCTCTGCCTCCCAGAGTGCTAGGATTACAGGCGTGAGCCACCCTGCCGGGCCAAGTCTCTTAACTTGTAAAGAAAGATGTTTCTTGTCTTCTTCCTTCCACCACCTTTTTTGCTCTAGCATTTTTTCCTTAAAGTATAACCCACAGTTTTACTAATGTGTCTAACTAATCCTAGTGTTATTTTATCATATTTTTACGAAGAATGTTCTGAAAATTTTGGAGACATTTAGTTCCTCCATAATCTTGAAAAACATTGTTTCCAGTTGCTGCTCTGTTTTTTTTTAAAAAACTTTTCTTTCATTTACAGACTTCGTGAAACTTATACCTGCTGGCTTTGACTCTCACCAATCTAGGAAAGGTGATCTCTCAAGGACAAAGCTAGTCCTACTGCTCAGTCCTTTTCCTACTTGACATTTGAAGAGTTGGCACTTTTGGCCACTGTTAAGCCTTAAAACTTGAGCTTATTTAGGATCCATGATTCTCTGCTGATCCACACTTTTCCTACCTCGCAACACTTCTCTGATTAATAATGATCAGCTTTGTGATTTGGGGCAAAGGTTAGATTAGAATAATCTCATTTTACAAGGTTATAATACTTGATGTAATACAACTGGATTATAAGCTTCTTAAAGACAGAAATCTTATTTTTGATTCCCATAAAAACATCACAAAATGCTGAGTGGACACTAAATGTCCTGTAATTATTACTTGCTGATTCCGCTTTATCCACTGTAACCAGTCTGCTAGACTTTATTTGAAATGGCTTAATAATTGGTTACTTTTTATTTCTGCTGCTGCCAAGTTCTTGGTACCTTGGGCCTAGATTACTAAATGTATTGTTGTTGCCTCTGTCTCCCTGTCATTATCTAGCTCCTTACTAAACTACCACTTTGTTCAAAAATAGTCCAGTTTCCCAGTGTCCTCAATAAAAATTTCAAGGCATTTCACAGTTGGATATATTTATTTACTTTCTATCACTTCCCAAAACAGAGACAGTGCATGGTGGGCAGGCCTGTCCTTTGTCCGTACTATACCTTTTTCTCATACTTGGTTTCTTTTTAGACTATTACATGGCACCCTTTTCCACATCCTATTTTCTTCTTTCCATCTCCAGAAATCCTACACTTTTTAAAAAGTCCTGCTCATGTCCTGCCTCCTCTGTGATACTTTCAGTCCCTTACCTTGTTAGAAATCCTTTGTAGTAATTGTTTACATTATCTCCTACATCAGACACTTTTCTGTTTTCAGGTTCTTTTTTCCATAAGCTGTTTTGAGTTGGAAATCATCTTAAATCTGTTAAAAGCCCGATCTAACACATAGTACAATGCAGGCTTGGACTCTATTTTAATTGAAACTAAAAGGCTTTAACAGTATAATCTCTTTAGTCTTTTGAATGGTGAGGTAACCTCATAGATATTTTGGCCCATTTTGTCCTGCCTTGAATTATATATATATAACTAACTCTTTAGATGAATTCCTTTTGAGCTCCTGGGATGCTGGCCCCTTGGCGATCCACTTCATGAGATTGTTATAAGAAATAAGTGAGTTTATCCATTAAAGTGATAAAAGGGTGTCTGACATATAGTAAAGGCTCAATAAATGCTAATTGTTATGATTCCAGTGCTTCACATCTGCCTGTAGGCTTTCATTTCATCCTCTGCAGGGTCTGTAACTCCATTACCAGAAATGGAAAACCAGAATAATAATCCAGTAAATTAGAAGGGAGTAAATATTCTATAGCATGAGGAACCTGAAAACATAAGTCATTTTGCTGAACAAGTTCTAAGGAGTATTCTACGATTTGGGCAATTGCAGCTCCTACTATTAAACATTTTAGATATGCCACGGCTACTGGATCCAATTGCAGGCTCTAATACGCTACCGGTCTGTTCTTCCTCCATTTTCCTGAGTGTGGATATCTAAAGCCTGATTATTTCTTTCAGGGACAAGGAATGTGAAGGATGTAGAATAGTTGGGGAATCCTAATGTGGGTGAATTTTGCAAAGCCCATTTAAGTTCAGTAAAGGCCTCCTTGTATTTTGTTTTCTAAGGACAAGATTCCTGAGTGCTATTTTTAGTTAGTTCAAAGAGTGGAGAAGCCAATAAAGAACAATTGGGTACCCAGGACATGCAATTATTTTGCAAGCTCAAGGAATCTTCTGAGTTATCTCTTAGGTATAGGTCTAAGATAATACTAGATAGTATTTAATCTTTCTGGAGACAGAAAGATTCCTTTTTTAGATAAATCATGACCCAGATAATGTACTGCCTCTTGTAAAAATTAAAGCTTATCCTCAGAGGCCTTATGGTCTTTATGAGCTAGTTATAACAGATAAGAGTCAATTTCTGAGTCCTCTTTAGAAGAAGAACAAAGAAGCAAATTGTCTACATATTGAATCAAGGTAGAATTTCTGGGAAATACAGGGTTTTAAAATCCTGCTATAAAACTTGTGAAAAATATAAGGAAACTTCATTAAATCCCTGAGGCACTACTAAGTATACTATTCATTTTTCTAAGTAAAAGCAAACAAATATTGATATTATTTATCTACAGAAATAATAAAAAAGGTAGAATATAAATCCATTATTGTGAACCACTTAGATTCAGTCAGTATACTTGCTAGCAAAGTGTTTGGATTTGGTAACACTGGAAATCTTGATATTACAGCTTTATTTATAGCCCTATGGTCCTGTACAAATTTCCATCCCTCTTCATGGGGTTTTTTGACAGGTAAGATAGAAGTGTTACAAGGACTACTGTATGGATAATTAATCTTCAGTGTATTAGGTCTTCTATTATTGGAATGAGTCATAGTATTGCTTCAGGTTTTAGAGGACACTGATGTAATTTAGGAAATGGCTTGAAAGGGTCAATTTGTATTTCAGTGGTCTCAACATTTAAAATTTTTCCTACATCTGTGAGAAAAGATGCTCATAAAGTATCAGGAATTCCAGACAGATCTATGGCATGTAAGATTCCATGGAGGTTATTGGTTTCTTCAGGGTAATCAGTTTGTCCCTGGGGGACACATAATGTTTCAGTGTGAATGGATCTGGAATTATCATTACTATTATAATAATGAATATTTGGAGTTATTTCTTCTGAGGAAAAATTTACTTCACCCGCAAGTTTGGAGAACAGATCTCTGTCTGATAGATTTATAGGGGTAGTATCAAATAATAGGAAGGCATAATTTTTGGAAAAAGGACTAAGGATAACAGTTCTGGGCTCTGATAAAGGGACACTTTGAACTTGATTGGAAACTCTCTAAATGAGATATTTTCATTACTCAAGGAAGTCATTCAAGAAAGTATCATGGTGGGCTTTAAAGTAGAAAGAGTTGCTCTAGTATCTGCCAACACAGTACAAATTTCTCCATTTATTTTAAGCTTGCTTTTTCCTTGTTAATTTAAAGGAATCATGAGAGTACACTACTGCACAATTCCTCGGAGCCCTGCCAATGTTGTGAATTGTCAAAAGGATGTGAGGTTTATTCTAATTTTCTCTTATTCAGAAAGGGATCCTTTTTTCCCAGTGCTCCCTCTGCTTATAGTAACAAAAGGCATCTCTATCAACAGGGACAAAATTGGGAGTAGGTTTCTGAAAGTTAGGTTGAGGTGTTTGCAACTGTTGTAATTTTAAGGATGTTAATTTGTTTACCCAGTGGTTCCATTTTTGGTCTATACTCCTTTCAAAATGTTCTACTAGATATTGTAGTTCTGTTAGGGGAGTGATCTCTCATTCTAATTTACATTTCCTTAGTAGTCACTTATTTCTGTGTGCAGTCCATTAACAAAATGGGCTGAGAAAGCCATTCATCATTTAGCTTTTAAAGCCAAAGTATTGTTTGAACACTTCCTGTAGGTAGATTCAGTAGTGTGCAGAAGATTCATTCTTTTTTTATTTATAAGATTGTATTATAGTTCAGTCTATTCTCATGGGGAATATTTCAGGGTTATCTTATAATAACTGTTGGCCTGTTTTTCTGGCCTTCATATTCCCTCTTTGGAGGCATGCTCAATAGGAGCTTAAGATCTCCAGTTAGATTATCTCAGCAAACTTTTTTCTAGACATTTTCAAGCATCCCCTGTGTCCACTATCATAAGAATAAATTGATATTTACATAGGGAGCCCTGAGTCATACACCTCTAGAAGAATTTTTAATTTTTCTTTAAACTTGGTTTGGTCCTTTTTAGGGTCAACAAAGCCTTATATAACGGCTCAGGGTTCTGCATGAGAACAAGGTCTAAATTCAGCCGTTACAGGTTCTCCTGGTTCATTTGAGGGTCTGATTTTTATGGGAAGCTAGTGTTGTGAGAGTTCAGGCAGGAAGGGTAAGAGATCAAAAGGGTTAGTGGTACTTTTCCACTTCAATGCTGTAGGAAAGAAAAAATAGGAAAAAAATTAATAAATAAATTAAAAAATAGGTTAGTGGATTCAGAATAATCGGATAGCAGAGTGTAGAGAGGAGTTGAAAGGTTGGCAGGAGGGTCTATAGAATCAGTCTGAGTCTTAGCCTCTAATTTTTCATTAGCTTACCACAGAGATTCTTTTAGAGAAGCTATTTTTGAATTATTCTGTCTTTTAAAAGCAGTTGTATGAAAGAATACATTGCATTATTTCTGAGAAGTTCAAGAGCCTCTCTTTTCAAGGGTACCCATAAGATGAACTATTTTGTCTAAGTTGAAAGTGGCCTCAAAGTGGCCACTGCAATTCCAAATTGTCCTTTGTAAAGTTTAGCTATTTTTCCAAAAAGGCACAAGATCTTGATCCATAGTGGGTATAAGTGTAGGAAGCAGGGAGTTTTGAGAGAGGTGGGGAAAGAGTCTTAGAATCAGGTGAAATCAATCTTTGCCTTAGAGTACCTAAAGCAATTGTATTTGCAGTGAGTCTGGTAGTTAGTTCTACTACTGTCTAGAAACCCAAGGAATCACAGATTTCCTCTCAATATAGACATAAGGGTGACCTATCAAGGAGCTTCAACAAAATACGGGTATGCATAGCAATTGGAGAGCTCAAAGTGCAAAAAGAGCAGAGTTCAGATCCAAGAGAGACTTATCCTAGAATCCTGTAGTCACCAAGAAAACAATAAGTGTAGTAAGCTCCATAGATACTAGTACCTGGTTATTCACTGACCTTAGGGCTTGTCAGGGGTTGTCTTGAGATCCTACTTCTGACACCAAAAACTGTCAAAAATAAAACCAGATTAAGTTGAAATTTTTAAAGTTTACTGTGCATATTAAAAAAAACAACAGTTCATAGGAGGAGGAAGGAGGAAAAAAAGAAAAAGAAAAAACAAAAAACAGTTCATGAACTGGGAGACTTCAAACCAAAAGCAGTAAGAAGCTTGGCTCACAACAATTTTGGTGCAGCTTATAAAGAATAAATGAAGAAATACATTGATCTGTATTGTGATTGGCTCTTATAAACTTCCATTCCCCTTAGGGAAAATAGAGCTTTATAGGCTTTTCTATCTGTAGCTGATTGTTTCATAATTGTGCTGACAAGAAAAAAAATTTTAATTTATGTTATGGAAATTAGGATAGCTTAAGTGTCAGTTATGTGTCTGTGGGCAGTTGGCCTAGAGGTATATCCAAACCGTGGCCTCCATTTTGAATTTTCTTTAACACTATGAAACTGATTACTCCCAGAGGGTTGGATCTTACCCATGATTATTCTTTTGGCAGATTTCTTCTGTGAGGCCCAGATGAGAGTTCTCAGTAAGTGTCATGCCCTTGGCCAGAAATAAGCCTGGCAAATAGTGATATCAACTAAATGCAACTTTCAGTGGTCTCTCTTATGCTCCTAGATTTGCCCTTTGAAAAGAGGTAGGAGCTGGGTGCAGTGGCTCATACCTGTAATACTAACACTTTGAGAGGCCAAGGTAGGTGGATCACTTGGAGTTTGAAACCAGCCTGAGAAAGAGTGAAACTCCATCTCTACAAAAAAATAGAAACATTAGCCAGGCATGGTGGCATATGCCTACAGTCCCAGCTACTTGGGAGGTAGAGGCAGGAGGATCATTTGAGCCCAGGAGTTTGAGGTTGTAGTGAGCTATGATCTTGCCACTGCACTCCAGACTAGGTGACAGAGTGAGACCCTGTCTCAAAAAATAGATACATAGATAGATAGATAGATAGATAGATAGATAGATAGATAGATAGATAGATAGATAGATAGAGGGAAAATACGTAAAACACCCATGGGCTCATGTTCCAAATCTGCCTTATGACAATAAGTGATCCTAAGCAAATCATTTAATCTCTCTGAGGCTCCTTCCTAAAATGTACAACGTTGTTAAAAGCATCTTCCCTGCTTACTTCACAGGGATGTTTTGAGGGGAAAATGAAATGACAGGAAAAGTCTGTAATGAGCTGTAACAATCTGTAATGAGTATAATAGTGGGCTGGTTACAATCACAGGTTATTGAGGAAATGGCTGTGATTCAGTGGACTTAGTTGGCAGGCTGAGCTACTCTACAGTTGGTTTGGGAAGCCCAAAGAGAAAAAGACTCTTACTGGCTGGGCGTGGTGGCTCATGCCTGTAATCCTAGCACTCTGGGAGGCTTAGGCAGGTGGATCGCTCAAGGTCAGTTTGAAATCAGCCTGAGCAAGAGTGAGACCTCGTCTCTACTAAAAATAGAAAGAAATTAGCTGGACAACTAAAAATATATAGAAAAATTAGCCAGGCATGGTGGCACATGCCTGTAGTCCCAGCTACTTGGGAGGCTGAGGCAGAAGGATTACTTGAGCCCAGGAGTTTGCTGTGAGCTAGGCTGACGCCACAGCACTCTAGCCTGGGTAACAGAGTGAGATTCTGTCTCAAAGACAAAACAAAACAAAACAAAACAACATCATTTTTACTAGTGAAGTTATATGATACTCTTTCTATTTCATTTGTCTTCTTGGTTATCAGATAGCCACATTTTAGTAAAACTGTTACGAAAGAAAAATTTAATGTAGAAAACTCTATAATTATATTTGCTACTGGTAAAGACTAACATTTTTTTAAAGGAAAAAAGGCTTTTCTTCAAGTTGGTGTTCTAGTGAAACAAGTTTGAGAATTGCTGATATAAGAATTTGATAGATGAGGGAAGAGAGGTTTCTCCTGGATGCAGAATGGAAGTGAAGAGACTGACTTTAATACTGAGTGAGTCTCAGGTTGCAAATATTTTAGAACATTTCTTACCTCAGAAATCCTATTGCTTCCTTTGAAATGCAGGGACTAAGAGTGCTATCTTAGGCCTCTCTTATCATGTAAAATGAGTCAGAATATTATAGTGGTTGAAAAAATGATCGCTGAAGTTTGAATCCTGGTTTCATCATCATTGGCAATGTGACCTTGAGCAAGTTAGTTTAATCTTTCTGTGTCTGTACTAGTTTGCTAGAGCTTCCGTAACAAAGTACCACAAACTGGGTAGCTTAAACAACAGAAATTTATTGTCTCGTGGTTCTGGAGATCAGAAGTCCCAAATCAAGGTGTCAGTAGGGTTGCTTCCTATTGAGGGCTGTGGGGGAGGATCTGTTCCAGGACTCTCTCCTAGCTTCTTATAGACTTAGGCATTCCTTCACTTGTAGATGGCATTCTCCCTGTGTTTTCACATTACCTTTCCTCTGTACTTGTCTATCTCAGTGTCCAGATTTTTTCTTTTTATAAAGACATGAGTCACACTGGATTGGGGCCCATCCTAATGACCCCTCATTCTAACCTGATCATCTGCAAGACTATATTTCTAAATGAGGTCATATTCACAAGTACTAGGAGTTAGAATTTCAGTATCTTTTGGGGGATACAATTTAGCCCACAACAGTGTTTTAGTTTCCTTGTCTATAAAATGAGAGTGATAATAGCTACCTGATAGCAATAGTGTGAGAATTTTGAGTTAAGAAATGGTATATGTTCAGAATAATGTCTGGCACATCATAATTACCCAAGAAGATAGAGAGTAGGTTTACTTATTTAGATGTAGGAAAATAAATAAACCTAAATTGAAATGCAAATCATCTAGCTCCTGTTATTTGTTACCAGGGTGGATTTGGCTCATCATGCTTCCTGACACTCATTTCTTTTTTCCTAACTATCTTCTGTGGAACAAATCCATTGCCCATTCATCTGGTATTATGAGTATCTCTCCTAAAGCTGCATACCTGGACCTTTCCAACCATGAGGAGGATTTTTCTTTAGTTTCGGATATGAGGATAAGTGTATATAACTGTCTGAATCTCTCCTCTCCTCATTTCTTCCAGTGGTGGGTGGTACAGTATTCAGAAGGCATAAGGTCCTTCAAATATCACTTGATTTTCTAGGATAGCTGAGTGTCAGCCTTGGCCAGTCATTACCAGGATGTGTGACTCTAGATAAGTCTTTCTCTCATCTGGGTCTCATTGACCCATACTATAAAAGAAGAGTTTCATTATTCATATTTCCATAGCACCTTGGAATTTTCAAAGTGATTGTTATGAATTTGTCTTATTTAAGTCTCATAATAACCTATTGGAGCAGTAGTTATTATCATTCCATTTTATAATGATATTGAGGTTTAGAGAGGTGGTTTAGTGAACACAATGACACAGCTAGAAAAATACCAAACTTTCAAAATCCAGTCCCTCTGACTCTGAATCCAGTGCTTTTTGCATTATCCTGCTGTGTCTGAAGTTTGCTTGTCTGCTGTCTCATTTGCCTGTCCAAGACTGAACCAGTGGAACATTCCAATGTTAGAATGAGAAGACCAGCCACCCAGGCACTCAGTCCATGCCTGTCCCAGTTCTGGGGATCATGAAGGAGCAATATAGCCACACAGAGCCATGCATAGGGTCACTGGCACAGATTTAAGCAAGGATAAGATCCATGAGAGCTGGAGAATAGGGTTACTATGGAGTTGTCAGAGAGAGTTGGGGCAACTTGTCTGCTGCCTCACATTGAGAGACAGGTACAGTTTCAGATTCAGATAGGTTCTGAGCACAGATGGTTTTCTTTACTACTGGGTATGGCTACTTTGCATGGGGAGGGCTGTGTATTTCTAGGTAAGGATAAAATCCCACTCAGAGGTGGGGAGAGATCTATTCTTCTACAGTAGCCCCTGCTTCCTCATCATTAAAGATATAAGAATGAGATGAAGTGAACTTTTCAGACTTGTGATGCCTAGAGGGTGAGACACTTTGTGCAGTGGCCTGTCATCCTTGGCATATAGCTAGGGCATTGGGGAAGTATTTCCCTCTGCAGAAAGTATTCAGTTTGGATGATCACTTTTATTGGCTCAAATATCATCATTTCTCCCTAGCTCCAACCTAAGGGCTATATACTAATATTAATATTTGCTCTAAAATAAAATTGTAAACACTGCTCCCCTCTCACCCCCTCAAAATGGCACATTTGTAACATCCAATCAGAGGAAATGGTGTTGGCTATTGTCCTTTGATGAGAAAAGGCAGGAAGCATTACAAAGGTATCTATTAGGGTTGCTCTCTCCTCTTGACAACAGAGTGAACCAGTGAGACTTGATCAGCCACCAGCTCTGAGTTCTTCTGATAGAACTGGTGGGGGATATATCCATTCATCATTTGTCCTATTCCTTCTATGTGCCAGGTGGTGAACCAGATACGAGGATCAAGTATAATATACAGGGCTAGCTCAGGTAGGGCATGAGTAGAGAAGAGTGTTAGAGAAAGGCCCTAAAGATCTCCTGTGATTTAAGAGTAGACTGTAAGAATCAAGAGAGTATAATAGAACAAGGATGAAGTAGTTCAAAAGGTAGGAGGAAAACTAGGAAGTTTGGGGCATCAGAGGTATTGAGAGCTCAATGTCTGAGGCAGAAGATTTGAAGGTCTCTGTAGGCAGAATCCTTACACTGGCATTTATTGCTCTGTGATTTTCTGTAAATTATAATAGTTGCCCCTTATCTATGGTTTTGTTTTCTGTGGTTTCAGTTACCCATCGTGAACTTTGGCCAAAAATAGTAAGATTTTTTAAAAATTTCTAAGTATTGTGGAGGTATGAATGTTTTTGGTTACATGGATCACTTTTGTAATATGTGAGTCAGGGTTAAAAGTGTGCCCATCACCCAGATTGTGTTCAATATTAAGATATTTTGAGAGAGAGACCACATTCCCATAATTTTAATTGTAGTGTGTTGTTATAACTGTTTAATTTTATTGTTAGTTGTTGTTGTTGTTAGTCTCTTATTATA